CCTTATCACCCTCGCACAAACGGGAAAGTCGAGCGCCTCAATGGAACATTAGGAGGCATACTTACCCGTATGTGTATAGGCGAGCTGGTGACAAACTGGGACACGTACCTACCAGCCGCCGTTTTCGCCACAAGGATTCGCCGTCATAGAAGTATGGGAGTTAGTCCATATTATCTGGTGTATGGACAACACCCCAACTTACCAGGGAACATTCCTGGGGAAAAGGATGAGTCAATGTCCTTTGACGAACTCATCAAGCGAGTCAAGAAAGTCCAACACGCCAGAACACTAGCGCTTAGTGAGCTGCTTGTGGAAGCCGCCCGCCGAGACCTCATAGACCCGACTCGACTCAAACCTGAAGATCAGGCGCGACTACCTGTCGGTCAAATCGTTTTGCTAAAGAACGAGCAGAAAACGAAGTTCAAAACGAACTACTTAGGTCCATACAAGGTTCACATGCAACATCCTTTGGGAACATATGCCCTCGAAACACCGAACGGGCGTATCTTACGGCACCTTGTACACGGCAATAGATTAATAACAGCCCGGGGCATTGACAAGCTAGAGGACTTCTGGACTAGACAGGAAATTGACTCACAGATGTCCGAGGAAATCCGGAACCAAGTGGCACCTCACTCACCAGACATCGAGAAGGTTTTAGAGAAAGAAAAACCGACCCTACACTGGACGACTCTATCCTCCCTTCCTAAAAAGGAGTGGAACCGGCTGCAACAGCTACGGAGTCAACGAGAGTTGACGTACGAGGGCGTACGTTCGTTCTTGGTAGGGGAGAGCTCGATAGACGCAAATATCGCGCGACAAATCAGGCTTACCGATGCGAAAAATCGACGTAAACAAAAAGCTACTACAGCTACGTCGGCCGCACCAGTGCCAATCGTCTTTGACGAACCAAGAGACACACCGGAAGAACAAGGTGAGAACAGCGGAGCGATGCAACCGCCGATAGTCAACATCGAAAGAAGCTACGATGCTCCAAGGGCAGAGGAAGCCCAAACGATAAACGAGAATACAGCAGATGACCCGTCAAACGAGATTGACATGGCAGAGGAAGCCACTGCAGAACCGATACAGGATGAATTGCCTGAAGAAACAAGCTCAGGAGACGAGTTTGATGATATACGAATGGACTTAGACAAGAATGTCCAAACTGAAAATGAGAATCCTACGAGTATGGATATAGATACAGACACTGAAGAAGTGCCAAAAGAGGTTGACGAAGTGACCGAACAACCTCTAATAGACTCGGACGTCCCTATAAGGGACCTTGTAGAAAGCAAACCTCATATGCGGAAAAGAAAGCGATCCTATACGGATGAACGCAATAGAGAAACCCAAGCGGCTGTAGCCAGCGCGTCAAGACGAGTTGACAGATCAGAGGGAGAGAGGTACTCCCTAAGGAAAAAGATATTACCTTCTAAGTTGTTACAAGAAAGCTTAGATTACAACTAACCTCAGTCTTTCCTTGAATATCTCCTATGTACACACCATTATTGATCTCCCATTCACTCATTACTCATACACATGGCCGTCAACGAAGGTTGACGAGCCATAGGAATCACCAGGAGGTCAAAGAAAGAAGATGTGGACTTGTGATGATACTATTCAAGTCTAAAATCGCTACCTAAGAACCGCAACCCAACCAGACACAAAAGAAAAGCCGTCAACGCCCTTTGACGCTCAAGGAGAAGGGGTATCAACACAAAAGAGACGTCGTCGACCTAGCCCTGGACCCTCAAAGCGGATTTACGACGACTGAAGTTCATATTCTTCGCGAACTTCACCAGGACCTTCTTACTCTCCTTGGGCATGCCATCCTCGATCAGGAACCGGCATGGCAACCCTTGAGGCGTACGACCAGCCTCGCCAAACGCGTTTGTCGGAAGAGCAAACCAACCCTCAACAGCCTCGTCAAGCGGAAGACCTTCGTCATCTATGTCCTGTATAGGACGAGTGGGGATGATACTCGGGTCGGGAGGCATGATATCATCATAGCCAGGAACGAGAACCTCTGGACCGCCGTGATACATCCATTCTATCATGGCTGTGACCTTTTAATTAGCTAGAGATTACACGAGATAGAAAACCTGACTCACGAGCGAAGGACCAGCCGCAGAGTTTGACCTGGTCTCCTTGAGACCTGACAACTTCTTTTGACGAAGCTGGGCAGCCGAATACCTGCCAGTGGACTTGGTCTTTTCCACAAAAGAAGACTGTTCGGCACGCTGAAGCTTCTCAATGACGTTACGCTCGCCCCGGTATACTGTGGATACACAATTAGCCCCGTCAAAGGCCTTTGACAACATAAGGGAGTGACTTACGACGTGACATGCTGCAGAATTTCCCATTTCCTTGGTGGAAACAATTCAAACAAGTACCTTCAAACAGTAGGAACCCATTGGGAAAAAGCTGCACACACTCCTTGAAGACACCTTTGCCGGCAGAACAGGATCCACAGGCGCTATCACCGAAGTGCCAGAACGCGCCACGAGCCATCATGCCTAGGACGGCAGGAATGGTATACGGATACTTCCCATCCAGTCGTTTCTCGGGATCCCGAAAGATCTGTCCTACTGTTGCTGCGATATCCTGGGGATAGCAGCAGTCATCAAACTTATCCGTCATACAAAACGGAAGCAGATCCTTCGGAATCGAGGCATGTTGACCGCCAGTATACGCCTTGATCAAGCCATCAACGAATTCCTGGCAGAACGGCACTGAGATGGGAGGATCCGAGAACATCTCCCCTAGGTCAAGTTAGCTGACCGTCAAAGGCAATTAACAGGAAGAAGACCTACGCCGACGGGCCAACCACTGCGCGAACTCTGCCGATTTCCCCGAAAAGAAGTAGTAGTCAGGATGAACACTGAGGCCTGACCGGCCTTTCACCATGATCTCGGCACCGCCATAGCTGTCAAGTTCAGTTGCCGCAGTCTCTGATGCCGCGCTGACCTTGCGAGAAGCTGCAGACCCCTTACGCTTGATAGGAGCCTTCTTCACGATCTTGCTAGGACTTCCGAGACCTGTTAAGGCCAATGAGGAAGTCATGGAGCGAGTTTTAGGGCTGTCAAACAACTTTGACAGAGTCCTCACGGCCTTGCGGACCTTCTTAGGAGTCCTAGGTGCCTTAGGACGAAGGCCTATGATGATATTAGGAAATTGAAAACCCAATTAAGGCTTAGAGATTCACCTTTCTTGCCTGCCTTGAGAGCAACTGCTTCATCAAGCTCGTCAATTTCCATTATCGCATCGCTGTCAAGGTCTGATAGCCCAGAGCTCAAAGCTCCTTCCTTTTCAGGATCAAAGACATCGTCAGAGTCATCTGAAAGATTCTCGAACCTGTTAGGCTTGGTAGGAGTTTCAAAAGGCTCGTCAAGATCAGTTGGCGCAGAATCGTGATCTATAACTTGACCTATAGGAACCACACAGGTTAATAAAGTTTTTGAAAAGAGAAGGACTGAGCGAAACTACCTTCTGTTTCAGGAACAGTCTCGTCAATGGCGATTGCCAACTCCTGCGGAATCACAGGGACCAAGATCTTAACCTGTGGAACCTCAGCTCCAAGGGCCTGGTTGTTCTCTTCATTCAGTTGATTCGAAGCCTCGTTTTCTAGGCCTGGATTGCGGAAAAATGGCGAACCCCAAGGACCCCGTGGATACAGGTAGCCATGAGCCATCTCTAAATAGCTCTCACGAACTGTATAGGTCAGCCTAGGCTAGAACTACTAAAGAACTTGACCTACTATCGGGAGCGCGGGCATGTTCTGCCATCATGTCGTCAAGCGACCTCTCGTCTATCCCACCTCGCGAAAAGGCATGACGAAGGTCATCATTTATAACCATGTCCGCTGTAGGAAGGTCAAGTTAAAAAGAAAAGGTGAAGCTGAAGTTCACATACCTGAGATCACAACATCAATTGGGGTAATTTCTGAGCGCGCAGGAGTTTCAGCAGTGTTTTCAGACATTGTCAAACGAGTTTGGTATAGAAAAAGGTCAAGAAAAAGGCGAAATGGTCAAGTAATGTGAGGTTGAAGTTGGCAGGATACGTCAATGGTGAAGGTGACTATTCAGCGCCAAAACAAGCTCGGACCACCCCCCCTTACGCGACGTGTTACTGGATATGGCCTAGCGTTGAAGAGATTTTACACGCCTACCTCTCTTTATTATATGAGTTAGACTCCGTCAATCGTCTTTGACGCCTCGCAGGAGCTCGTATAATCAGGAGGGGGAAGATGTGGGATTCATATTAGGTAATCCCCATTACTCAAATCTTACTCAGCGTAGGCTAGGTATATATAGTAGATAAGTAGACTAGATAGAACGGGCAATCAAGTTTACCACGTAAAATCTACCTAAATTCCTACATGGAGGATAGGGACTAACAGCACTTGACGCCAAGGCTGATGATTAGTATCGACGTTATTCCCGCAAGCCTTATTGGCCCAGATGGCGAGCACACTTCTATCGGCGCCAGTAAACGAGCGCTGATTAGTCTGATTCATCGACTAAATTTAGCTCTACGCATTACTTGGCGCCGCAAGGTCGTTTTAAAGCAGCTGTCAGGCAATGGCAGGCGCGGGCGCTTTGACAGAGAAGAAACTTTTTCAATGCAGTTGCAAGTGATGGCTCCAGAGCCGTTGTGCTTCCACAAGAACCTTTCACGTTCGCATCCTCGGCGGTATTATGGGGAGAGTGCTCGACTTACAGAAACAGTTCCTGTTGGTAGAGGAGCGAACAACTGCCATACTAAGCTATAGATACTAAACGATGACAGGGGATGACTAGGCATCGGGGCCGGTTTCGGACCCCGTTGGCACCCTCAGGGGTCTGGAATCGGGACCTCCGTTATTCATAGAACTTCTGGTAGCCGAGCTTTGCCTAACATTTCCAGGGATTTGCATCATGCCACAAAAGGCTATAGAAAGAAGTCCAGATCTCAAGCAGGAATCCCTAGAGGCAGATGGCAGCACCGTGAAGATGCCCGACTATTGAAACTAATCAAAATCGACATAACCTGAAGAGAGACGAGCGACGAAGTGGGACGGAGTTATATAACTCTTTGCGCCAAGTCTATGCATAATCTAGTAAAAACGAGATAGCAAAGCTTAGCATCCACCGTACGCTCCTTTTCACCCGTAAATGCTCCAACCTCAACAAGGCGAGAGTTCGATCTTGGTGGGAAGTGGTAGGTCGAGGACATCGCAATAGCCTTACGAATCCTTCTTGTGCAATGTGTAGTAGCGGAGTTTTACGGCGCCCACCGACCGACCTGGGAAACGAAAAACTATGTCATCCCAGTCCAAGCCCATCTTGTCCTTGTACGACAGTAAGCGCTGTCCGTCCGACTCTTTCCACGGTACATGTGTTCGTTTGCCTGAGAGCATATAGCCATTGTCGCTCACGTCTTCATCTTCATCCTCGTACTTCTCGTTTCCGTATGTTTCTGGATGGACGGCGTCATAGTTGATGGCATTACTGTGGCGGCCAGTCTCCCTATCCGTGCTTCGCTGCATCGAGCCTCGACCGCTACATAATTTTGGCGCACCGCAATCGTCATGCCGGTATCCTATTACCAACCATGAATCTGATGATAACTTAATCGTTCGGATGACTTCGCCTTTGTTACCAAGCAAGTTCCATCTAAGCGCTGATGACTTTGCATACAATGCTGACATTACGTCGGCACAATAGACGGTTGCTGTAATAATAGGCGAGTCATTCGGTACGTCGCAATAGTAATGCGCAATATCCATTAACTCGTAGTCGCTGGTTCCGCGGTAGATACTAGAATCATATGCTGCCTTTGCTCCTGTGGAAAAGGTTCGCGGGGGACCGATCCGACTGATCCGTGCTGTGCTATCCGCTCTTGGCCCAGATAGCTGTTGTGATGGGGGTGATGTTAGTTGTCGTGATGTCTTCCTAAAGACTGTGCTCCCATTCTGTGGTTTAAGATGAGTCTGTGGTCGACCGCGCGGTCTCTCCTGGACCGAACGATTGCTAGGGTTATGTCGCTGAGGAGGTGTCGCTGAAGCTCCGTAGGACACGTCGACCTGATTGAGTTCGTCCCTATGGCTTTCCCCAACTTCACTACGTCTGCCTTTTCTACTCTTCTCACGCCTGTCTGAATCCGGATTGATATCTTGTTCGCTCACTGTTCCTTCAAAAGGAGAGATGGATTGTCTTGAGGAGTAAAGGCCTGGGGATTCAGCACCATCGCCTTTGTCGTTACACTCTGGAAAATCAGGTCTAGGACCGTTGCTGGCTCTAGGAGAGGGAACTTGGCTGCTAGGGCTTGGCAAAGGCGTTGACTTGGGCATGGATACAGGATCGAGTATGAGGTTCTCTACCCGCTGCTTAGCCAGCCTTCGCCGCTTCGCTAAACGACGTTCTTCCAGCTCCGGTTTCGACGTAAGATCCACCACTTCTGCTGGGGAGATTATCGTATCAGTAGATAAAGAGTGCGTTCGTTTGCGTATTATTGGCGGTCCGCTTGTTACGCCAATATCGCTAAAGAGTGGTTCATCCTCGGCTGGTGGTCTCTCTTTGAAGACGTCAAAATGGGCTCCTTAATTCTACTAGGATATTACTCACTATGACGCACAACTTCCATATCCTCTACGGAGAGAGCGCGCATGCCAACTGTGTCGGGATCGCTATACTGTATGGCATGGTATCCTTCAGTGCCAGCAGCCTCGTTGTAACCGTTCGCTTGGTAGTCTGACGCTCTGTCGCTGGGCTCAACGTGCATTATACTGTGATCTTCGGCTACGTCACCCTCTAAATTTAATGGAAATTCTATCGCTAATCAGTAAATGGGCACCACGATCTACCCATATACTTACCTGGGCTGCGTCCAAGCAACTCGTTTGTAGCCGAATTCGTCTTCGTGACATCAGTAGCGTTGCCTGTCCCTCCATCGTCAAGTGATTCCTGGCCGGACTGGCAGTGCTCTGGCTCGTCCGGTAAGAAGGCAGCGCCAACTCCACCGACGACATCTACGTCCATATATTAGCGGAGTTCTATCGGCTTGTAACGTTCAGTGGGTGAGTAATACCTTGATGTGGCGAGCCGGAAGGGACTGCAACTTCGAACCGAGGGTGCACTCCTGGATTAAGAGAGAGCGATGCATTGGAATCTGGCATTGGGAAATCGTCGATATCAAACCACTCTCCACGGTCTTTAAAGGAGACGGTTTCGGAATGGTTGTGCTCGGCTGTCTTGATTTTCGCCTTTGCTTTGCTCTTGGATTTCGGGTTGGGCTTGGGCGCTAAAGGATCGTAAGGAACAATTTTTATAGGAAACGAAGGGGCTAATAAAGAGATGCTGCAAGAAGACGCCATTGTGAAGTGGCGATCTAGTAACTTCTCTAACTACGAGGAGTCTGAACGAGTAATCCTCTCCCCAGACTGAGCGGCGTCGCTTTATATGTTGCGGTCGACATGGTTGCCTAAGAATAAGGAACCTGCATTAATACCGCATCTATTGTGGAAATGACTGTAAGGGGCGTAGCGAGCAACGCAAGGCACTCTCTGCAGGGGCAGGCGGGCGGGCTCAATGCTTGTCAGCACCAGCGCCTTGAAAAGACACTCGTATCACGCTACCAAGCGGCGTAGATGGACTCGTAGTATCAAAAATCAGCCTAGCTCATCCAGCGATTGGTTAGAAAACAGTCACTGTGACCTGGTCTTAGGCGCCTTGGGCGTCTTTCAGCTGTCCAGGTGTCCATATCACCTCGAATGAAACCACCGATCGCTAGCTTCTTCTTCGATCGTCAAGCACCCTCTCCCATAAGATGAGTCTGTGCCAAATAACCCATGAATCTGTGGTATCCGTCGACGGCGCTTCATGGTCCGGTGACTGGACTTCGGAACTTCGTTTGCCTTTTGTGGCACGCCTGCGGCCATCCCCGAGCTATCAGCTGGCAGATTTCAGGTGTCGGCCCCCTTTTGGTTGCATTTTAATGTTACAACACCGTATGCATCATGCGAGGTGGAGTATCATGCTGATCAGTGTGCCATGCATGTGAATGTCCACGTCACTGCCTGAAGGATTGGTTCTGCGTATTCGACTGAAGGGGCGGGGCGCAATGTAGCCGTGCCAGGGCTGAGACGATAGCGTGTGAGCCACGCATTTGCTCGCTCAAAATAGGGATAGGAAAGGGTGCAGGAAACACTATCGGCAAGCCCGGAGCAGGGAAAAGGTTTCGTAAGACCGCATACGGGTATGGCTATGCAGCGGGTAGAGCGCTTCGCCCCTTAACTGTAGCCGTCACTGGCGAGAGGTGAGCAAGCATTTAGCGAGAGAAGGAGGAGAGCATGCAGCGAAGAAAAACGAACAGCGAGAGTGTACGTACGAGAGCCATAGTAATAGAAAGCAGAGGGGCCGCTGAACGAGTGCGAATGTGAGCTGAAACTTACTTTCCGCATCCGCAATCGTCATGGCACGAAAAGCTGGACATCAGTGCCTGAATAGGAGTGAAATGATAGGGCGAAAGGAGGCAGTGCGGCGATGAGGCGGCGGCGGGGTTTGCAAAAATGCCTGATGGAGGATTCGTTGAGGCCCAATGAGAGCAGTTGGAGCAGGTGAGAGGGGCATGGACGGAGGGATAGGAATAGAGAGAAAAGGCTGAGAAGGAAAAACGATGACGGTGAGAGGGAGGGCGTTTTTATGGTAAACGTTGAGGTCGATTGCCTATTCGGGCGTAGAGGCGAAACCATAAGCGAGGCCCCGGGTTACCCGAATGAGGTGCGTCCCTTTCCGGATGCAGGGTTGCCGTCTGATAATTTACAGCGTGTCCGGATGCTCGTCGCCAGGGATGCTTCTGCTCTTCTCTAGTACCTCGCTAGACACTCTTCTCCGAGCACTTGCTTCTTTTTGAGTGCGCAATTCGGTGCACACGAGTGATTGATTTCCCTGCTGGGATGTTTTGAGTCTTCGGTATCGATACCCCAGCCAGGTCGTAAGTATGCCAGATACTCCTTGGAAGTAATCTTACTTTCGATCTTTACTTCCTTTCCTACCTACGTATTCATCGATAAGAGTTCCGGACGGTATGGTGCGGGCATCCGCCCTTTCGGATTCCGAGCTATAAAGTATAGCTCCGATGAAGATTGCCAAGGGTAGTCGAGAACATGGGAATGTGAAACCCTTTTGCGTTGATACCTTTTACGTCCAAGATAAGTGCACTTCTTTTGAATTTTAAGGCATGCTGCACATTGCGGTTGCTCTGGACTGCACTTCTGTTTTCGAGCGCTATGACTTAGTTAACATCGAGAAGGTCTGCAGATCTAGCCTGACCTACCGACAATATTCGCAAGACAACGTAAGTGTCATGACCAAAGTCTCGTGAAGATTTATAGACCGTGGGTACTCGATTAATATGCGTCCAGAGGATTATCGGCCACGCGAACATAAGCATGTTATCCTATGTCGTGATTCTCGTCAGACTCATAGTCTCGCCGAGCCATGACAGTATTGGCGTTGCTGTAATTAATGTATGAGAGGCATCAAGAGCTGTTGTAGATCTCCCCCCTTCAAAGACGTTAGACAAGAGTAGGTCACTGGCTAGCAAAGCCGACCCGGCGAGGTGGCTTGATCGGGGAGCGAATTGAAAAGAAGCCGACCTTCTAGCATAGCGCAGTGTGTGGTCGGTATCTGGGATGCACGCGCAAAGCAGGCAGAGTTGGACGACCTGTTGGGATGGAATATACCTGTGCCCGGACTCGAAAGATTCGAGATTTCAGCGGACTTGTAGATGCGCACCATTGAAACTTGGTACCCAAAAGATCTAGGGCGAGACTAAGGGGTCGAATGCCTGCAACTCAGCCGTAGTTTTGATCCCATGAGATTCCATTGGCCACCTGATGCAGGCGGAGATGCCGAGTTGGCTGGGCTTGGTGCGGAAGAACGAAAATAGATTGAGATATCTAGATGTGTTGCTCTCGCGCGCGTCTAGAATTCACGTGCCTGTGTTAAAAAGATATCTCCCTGAACAGAGTATTATATTAAGTCTCACATTATGCCACTGTTGTGGACGAACTATATATCGTGATGATTTTAAGGAGCGGCAGGTCCACCAGTATCAAACGAAAGATACCAGTATCTAGGCAGAGCCATTCACAGCTCAAAGAGCCTAGAGCTACGTACGAAGTAGCCGCACATCCGAGCCCTCGACGGTCATCATACCTTCTAAAGGGACCACTCCTCCGTGATCAGAGGATACAGAACTGGCTGGGCCAATATAACCGTACGCACTACTCGCTACGTACGTGTACACTCAGCGAGCTATTGGAAGATAGACCGGTAGCGCCCCACAAATTCCAGGTGATTAAATTTGCCCCCGTCGCATCCCTTCTCGATAGCTAAGAGGCCTATGCAGACATATACACGACATCCTCTTGCCCCGCAATCTCACCCACTTATTAACACACAAGGATTGTCAGATCGGTCTTCAAGGTCATGTTCGGCGACAAAGACATAAGCTACCAGTTTATGCCCAGTCCTGGTCAACCTCGCTGGTCTTCATGGTTCTACCAACTGTCTTGGCGGGCCGTGTCGAAACATCGCCAGAAATTTTACTGTCTCCGGTAAATCACCCTCCTGTTCACCAAATAGGAAGCCATGATCGACATCCGGCACCGGAGTGAGAACAACTAAGCTAGGGTGCCACATCCGGTGCATCGCCACGACATCTTGGGAGATGCACTCTGCTTCAGCATAAATAGATTGAGCCGGAGGTAGGCTTCCTGGAAGGGTCTGTGCCGAGGGCGAGCACTGAGCATACTATGACTCTGCCTCTTGATTGGGATTGATTATATCGAAGAATGCAAGGAAACGGTCGGCGTTCCTATCCTCGTCTTTTTCTTCGAGCCGAGAAGTAGACTCGATATCGCATCTAGTCCAACATAAGGCATTATGTAAGAGCGACCCTCCGAAAGACTTTATAACCAGTTAGCTTAGCCTGGTAGATCTATATAGCTATCATGTACTTCACCGATGAGTATAGTCTTTCGTCCTCTGAATAAGTCTAGAAAGCAGTCTAAAGCAGCGCTAATATCTTTCTGGCTCGCTGGGAAGGGCTCCTGAACCGCTGAACGATACTGAGGTACAAGTAGTTCGCACATGAGGGAGTTCGCCATATGCGCATGGTATTTTGAATGTAGATGTGAATTATCGTACACACCTCCCCCTCCTACAACCAGGAATCCCGTATAGACAGCGTTTTCCGGCCTATATCTAAGAACAGGAACTGGAAACCCAGGAAGCTCTACCTTCTCACAGTTTGGCGATAGCGGTTGATGTGTCCGTCTCTTGTGTTCCGCTAGAATGATATCAGGATCGCGTAGGTCGTCGTTTTCAGTATGAGGGCCCTCTTTGAAGAGAATACACGGTATCCAGACATGTCGCATAAGCTTAGGTAGGTGTAAAGGTATGAAGCAGTCGTCTATCAGTTTAGATGAGTGTAGAGACACAAGGTAACTTTCTACCAGCTGAGGATGTACATGCTAACGATGGATGACATTTCCTACCAAGACATGTGCCTAGCCGGACGTAGCGGACCCTCGACTGCCGAGCTGGTCGTAACCTCCTAAAGAGATCAGCTGCGCGCTTAATTGGAGCAAAAGTATGTGAACGGATCCCCCGAGGAGGGGCGATTTACTGTCGTGACAAGGGTAAAGATTGATCGGTCTATTTCTCCTGATGGCCTAGCTATCCCATCAAGGTAAGCTCAAGTCACCCGCTGAGCCGTCTCCTCTTATAGCAAATGCAGGATTGGATGAGGCAAAGTCTTCCCCATTAAGTGTCCCGATTTAGATCTCTACGTACTAATATCTATCGATGTCCCTCTTGCAGAGACAGTCTCACATCTGTCTACAGCACAGTCCTCCCCTACTATGACATGTATTGCACCTGAGGACTATTCGTCCGAGACCAACACCTTGAATCGCAGCTGTGAGACCTGCCATCGCCCGAAGATACAGGTACGCTAAGCTTCTTAACTATATAGATTATGCTCACCAGTGCCCCCAGTACGATGGCGCTCAGCCAGAATGTAATCTTAGTCGCGTAGAGCATCGAAAAATATACTCACGAGCTCTCTAGGTCACAAATGCAATTTTGCTGGTATTATCGGTGTACACCGCACGAAAGACGAGAACAGCGATAATAGTCACACGCTCCACGCCATCAGAGCTTGTTCCAAGAACTTTGAGGTATGTGCAAGAATTCCTTGGGATTATCTATCTTATTCCGTGCCAACATATAACGCCTCCAGGAGACAGCAATTGTGCAAACTCCGAAACAACCGACAAACGGATCCCAATCGCTGAACGATCGACTACGAGATACAGTTAACCTAATTACACAGCTTGAGATCAAGCTCACATAGGCATCTCGCAGCGGCAGCAGCGATGGCAGACGGACGCGCGACGTCGAGGTTCTTTAGGATGCCCTGAGATCGTGGAAGATCTGCTAGAGGAAGCAGACCAGTATACAACTTACTAGTACAATCTCCTTAATATTGAGCGTCAAGTATCGGCGCCCATCGAGATACTTGCTCTGAGACTATATAAATATTGGCAATGTAACACAAGCAATACGAGGTAGACCTATAATGAAGAAAATCTAGCTTAATTTACTATATCCTAAACTGCGTCGCTGACATATCCTAATATCGCGGGAACGTTGGCGAACCGAACGTGCTGACCTGGACCCCTGCCTACCTCACCTTGAATGAATTTGTCAAGTGCACATTGCGGGCGCGTGCCGAGACCGTGGGGCCCCGGCACGTCTATGGGGCACCCAGTCTGCCACGTCAGATGCATGCCCCTCGCGAGCAAGGAACAGATTTCAGATCCCCATGGCTGGCTAAGACGTAACCGATGTCCTTGCTGATTGGAAGGCTTAGTGAAAACCCTAGCATTGTTCTTGGTCGCGGTGAAATTCGGATCCACACTGCGTCTGGGGTGTGATCTGTGCCCTGATAACCAAGAGTAATATTATTCATAAGGGGTAAGCTCGGGTTTTATAAGGGAGTCCGGGCCCCTTAGCCTAGGTAAGTGCGTCACAGAAATAGATACGGACAAATACAAATGTTCGAAACTTTTTGGAATGAAAACGTGATCGGAGGTATTAATCTTTATTCAAACAATCTGTTAGATCTGTAGCGTGGAAGATTCGAAGACTGTCACGTCCTGGAATCAGTTGAACAACCTTGATCATCTCCTCTGAGCACACGATGGTGGATCTCGATGTCTGATATCTGGGAGGAGTCAAGGGGCCAGGAAAGACTACTCCGAAAACGCCTTCAGGAAGGTCGGCCCGGGATACGATACTTGCCACACAATACCGGGCCTGATTGTTGGCTATCCCAACTTTTTTTTTCGTACGTGCAGCCGTATCACCAAGGCATTTGGTGAACTTACATGCGCAGTGCCAATGAAGTATACCTTCACTTCAAACAAGAGCCCACCCATGAGAGTGTCTTTCAAGTAGGCGAAGGCGTTCCTATACACTTTGAGTTAAGCTAGGTAATAATAATCCGCTCTAAGGTAATTTTCGAAGATATAAGGGGTCTTTATGTTTTGAGTTTGTCGTTGACCATGAACCTATTCACAAGGTAGATATCTGGTCAATAAAGAATCCTTGCCGAAGGGAACAGTGAAATGTCGAATCGCTATTGGTTTTGCCACCCAAGTCTTCTTGTGTCCTATGGGGCTCTTATCATATTACCAAGCCCTTCATGCTGGCAGAAGAGAGAACTAATGCAATAATGTCTAAGATAGGCACTTCATTTGAGGAAGCACTTGCTGCCAGAAAACGACGGGTCGCTGCCGGCTCTGGCTCATTAGCGCCTTGTGTTCCCAACCCGTATACCGAGAGTCTCCCCCCAGTGCTCGACTTCGCCTGCGCGTCCCTAGGCCTGAAAGTGAATTGCCCCGATGTCCAAGTCTGTCTTGCAGTTGGCGGATGGAACGACGACCCCGAAATCGATGGGCGGAAGACCATAGAGAGCAACGTTAGTCTGTCTCTGTTCGTACATAATCTCCACAGGGCTCTCTATGGCGATTCCCCATATTTAAGAACCATCAATTCGATGAAGTTGGTAAGCAAGTAATGCTAATACGCTCCGGAGTGGAGTGACAAAGGAGTGACCGGAGTGACACTCCGTGACTCCGCCACTCCGGATCGATTGGAGCGACGATACGGAGTATAATTCATTATCCCCCATCACTGGAAAGAAGGCAACTGCTATGGAGGACGAGACAGTAGTGCTGCATATCTGTTGCATGAACCAGGGGGTGAGGGTAAATGCAGGTACCTTGATCATACGGCTAAACCGTGGCCCTGACCGCAAAACCCGACTTTTTGCGGTCAGGGCCACGGTTTAGCCGTATGCTGGGCTACTTGCCTGTAGATTGATGCACTAATACTTAATATAGGTAAGTTCAGCCATCCCGAAGCCACAATCCTTTAGTTCCACGCCGTCGTCTAATCCCTGTCTTCAGCTCGGGTTTTAAGCTGGAGGTGAGATTCAATTTCAAACACCGGTCGAATATGGGGTATTGAACGTCAGAAACGTCGCAAATTGAACGTCAGCTGAGGTTTCAAACACCCCCTCAGCTCTGTGGCAGGAATGCCTGCCTTGCTTTGTGCAACTTATCAAGGTCAGCTTTTGTTCCGGATCTTCAGAGCGAGAAGACCTCAAACTTCGCTACAACATGTCGCTGGCGCGCTTCCAGCTCGCATATAGTCCTAGAAGGCCATTGCCACCTTGCGAAGGACCAAAGCTGTTGCCATTCAAGAGGCATAAGGGTAATATCCACTTCCTAAAGCTTCTTAGTTCGTCGCCGCGCTTGGACGGATCTGAAGGAGCCGAAGGAGGTCACAGCTATGTCTTCAAGGTTCGCATAGGTAAGAAGAAGTATGCACTAAAGGTCGTAAGTAAATACGCGTATATTTAATCACTGCTTTGTCGTTCAAGCCTAATATACGTCTAGTTCAAGTTCTTTAGTGTCGAGCAAGAACGCTCTTCGGTATTTCCTACCGATAGGGTCAAGGCAAGCGATGAGATAATCACCTATCACTCCGATCCATTTTATGCAGAGTGTAGAGCATACGGAAAGCTGCAAACCCATGAGCAACAGCAGCAAGAACAACGAACAAGAGACGAGAGGCGGCAACATCGGGAACATCCACACCGACTAGCTGTGCCCTGCTACGGCTATCTTTATCTCCCAGCAGAACAGTATGGGGAAATTTTCAGCGAGCAATTTGGGATTCGAGACTGGGACTGGCCAGAAGAAGATGAAGACAAGAGCTGGCGGGAGAAGCCACCGTTCCGAGCTTTGGTGAAAGAGCTCGTAGAGTCCAAGGAGGCCATCGTTAATGCAGAAGAAATGGAGCGAGACCTACACGAACTGAGGAATTTGGGAATATACCCAGTAGACCTGTACGCGAGGAATTACCTGGATGGAAAACTTGTTGATTTCAGTAGCGCGATGATGTCTCCACACTGGTGGCTTGATTCTCTCAGACCACTGCGGCGCCAGAGGGTGTTGGACGAGGAGCTTTTGCTATTCAGAGAGATGATCAGAGAGGCACAAACCGATTCCTGAGATGTAACGGTGATTCACTAGTATAGAAAATACAGAACCAACACGTCCTGGGTAAGAGCATTCGGAGTGGACACACTGTCATTACAAAGGAGACAGCGAATTCTTCTAGCTCCTTGGATCCAGGGTAGAGACCCAAAGGTATGTACCTGAACCACTCCTCCAATAGTTGAGCTTTATCGAACTCCTTAAACTCACTTGATTATACACCAGGGCTCAGTATCGTGAGGAGCAAGTCAAAAAGGAGTTGGTACGGCTCATCAGGAATGCGGCGACCAGACATATATCCTGGCAAGATAAACCAGATTTTGGTGTCTCTGACCTTAGGTGGTAACCAGATGCGAGTACGTCCCTCGAGATACGCACGAGATACGACGTCCTGAGATGAGAGAAGTCGATTTGTAATGCTGATCGGGGAGTTCGGTGGGGCTACCGGTCCCTGAGGTTGAGATGAATGGCCCAGCTGAGACTCCTCCGCGCATGCATCTTCCATCGACCTTACGCCAATGTTGCATCCATTGTATTGTTGGTTGGAAGTCTCCGATATGGAAAGTAGGGTGGTCTCTGCCGAAAGGCTTTGCATCATTCCGGTGCTGCCTTCTTTTCGATTATAGGGATGGCCGTAACGCTGATATGCTTCGAATAAACAAGGAGCTCCTTGCTCGACTTCTGCGCGAGACGGGCGCATACTCGTCTTCTATTTCGTTGACGACTTTTTCGCAATTGCACTACCAAAGTACACTCAGCTTCTCCAAGACTTTAAGATAGCCATCATGGAAATCTTTCAGATGCGTGAATGCACACCAGATAAGTTTCTCGGCATCAAGATCAGACGCAACAGAGCCGAGCGCAAGCTCTATCTTCTGCAAGATGTATATATCTCTAATATTGCTGCAAGATTTCATCTGCAACACGATTCAAACAAGTACCTGACGCCGTTACCTCTTACCTATCCTGATGCAAGAACTTCAAAACCAAACAATGGTCAGGGGCAGGACCAAAAACAAGGTCAAAACCAGGACCAAAAACAAGGTCAAACACAAGACCAAAAAGAGAACTACGCAAAACTATCACCCCATCAAATCTATGAATATCAACAGAAAGTTGGCTCGATAGGATATGCTGCAGTGTTTTCACGTCCAGATGTGGCCAAAGCCCACTCGATACTGGCTGAACACCTGCAGAACCCGTCAATCGAAGACATCCGAAGCGCCGATCGAGTCATACAGTACCTCTATCAGACACAAAGTCTTGGTATCCTGTACGACGGCCGAGGTGCAACTGAGATATTCCAAGGGGCTAGCGACGCGGCTTTTGCTGATGACATCAGCAATCGAGCATCTTCTGAAGGTTTTCTGTTCAAACTCTTTGGCGGTCCCATTGATTGGGCAGCGAAGGAACAAAGAACTGTAACCAAATCAACGACGGAGGCCGAGCTCACGGCTCTGTCTCACGAAGGCAGTCACTACAAATGGTGGTTGCGCTTCCTTGAGAGCATCCAATTCGAAGCAGAACAGGAGATGGTAATGTACGGCGACAACCAGGCGACAATCCGGATCGCGACGAACGAAATCCCCAAGATCAACACGAAACTCCGCCATACCGATGTTCATCAGAACTGGCTGCGGCAAGAAACACAACGAGGGCATATCACAATCAAATGGCTCCCAACGGCAGAAATGCCTGCGGACGGATTTACGAGGCTTTTGACGAAGCAACAACAAAAGCAGTTTCTAAAACAACTGAATTGGTCCCAACAAACGAGATCTAGCTTTAGCTATGAGATAGCCAAACCTGAGGGGGGGTGTCAGAATAGAGACCTATATACAAGGCAATGAAGAAGTTGGCTGAGCAATCCTCGACCACAGTGTATTATGTAAGCAAGCTGATAACTGTATATCGGCGAATAAGACTTCAAGGTTGAATTGAGGCCTTGAAGCCTGAAATCATGTCTATAAAAGAAGCCGACTTCTCCATGAAAGGAGGAAATCAGATCAATAAAGGAACAATCTTCCCACAATCTCCAACACATACAATTCTAATCTAGGACCTCAGATTGTATCCGATTGTAGATGGTCATGTCTGATATAAATGAAGCACAAAGAACACATGATGAGATTCACGATACCAAGCTTTTTCCAATATCTAGACTTATCCAGGCGGGACTGTCTACCAGTAGCTTTACAAACCATGCTGCCAGAATCAGAGGTGACAGACATGGTAAGCTAAAGATTGTGAAGATCGCTATGGAACTGATAACAGTGCAGCTCCATGATGCATTCATTCATATCGATCGCGATATTCAAGAGAGATGTCTCCCGGTTCGTACAACTTTGCAACACTTTTACAGCCAGCTTCGCGATGCCACGGGTGAATTAGTTTCTCAAGTAGCACAGCTTCACGAGGCCAATGCTACGCTCGCCAAGAACAATGAGAGTTTGCTTAGGGAGATAGAAACGCCCCATCTCACGATCGACCCGGCCTATCTTGCACAGGCTTCCGAGACTCAATCGTCGCCTACATCAACTGCCGGGTTGCAGGGGGTGGGACCTGACCTCACTTTTGAAGCTCTCCTCATATTCGATAGTGTCTGCCCATGCCGTGTTCTCCATCTTGATCTGCCACAGCCTTGCGATTGATCCGGGTGTCCGCCTTGCGAGCTCCTTTGTATTGGCGGGCGATGCTCGCAGTCTCAAATGTTGGTGGCTCTAGAAGCGATTCACAGCTGTCGTAGCCGGCAGGCTTGTGACGACCAAGTATGTAGGACCGAAGAGTCTCGAAACAACTCCTCCATTTACTCCCACGACGAGAAGGAGTTGTTGGGGAGATCCACACGACAGGACACATGCTTGCGGATTGGTATCGAGAAGAGTGTGGTTGTGTGTTCAACCTACTTCAAAGCTCAGCACGACGATTGCTTAGATACGATCGCGCAATCTAAAAGTAGTATGTGTGACTCCGAGGACGGTGTCTCTTGGCTGACAGATCTGAAGATGCTAGTAAGATGAAGGCGCTGATCATCTGGGAGAATGTACTAACAAGGCCAACAGGACCAGAATTACCCCATTCCGATTCGCGTAACGCCAAAACTATTCAAGACTTGCCCCCGTTCAAAGAAGTTGAAATTGATTCGGAGAAGAGATAGGGTAGCCGATAATGTGATTTCGACAGAGGAATGATAGGCTATGTACAATACAGATCATTCCACGAACAGTACGCGGGTAGTCCGCGTGACGTACATGACATACCATTCGAGGTCCGCCTCACCATTAATTTGGGAAACAAATGTATGAGCAGCAAGATCTCCGAGCGATGTCGCACAGTCCGTCATACATATAAAGCCCAAGGCATCCGGATCTCATTCCGCCAAGTTGAGGGGTTTGTAAGGCCGTACAGTGCATCATTTTGCTTCCTTCTGCTTCGACATGGAAAATAGAATAGCCAACGAGGCTGAAGTGTCCTTATCAAAAAGAACCTCGTGCATGGTACAGCATTTTCACACATATACTACCAGTACCGTATTTCTTCAAACATTAGTCCAAGCCAATCCAGTCTCCTCGTCTGGAACTGGTTCCTATTTTGGGTGACTACCCCTTAAAGATTGAAGAGGAACGGGGAATCTTACGGATATACGGTAGGGGTGAAGGTCTGACACACGAAGACAAGGCCCAGCAAGTCGACAACCAGCGTGACATCACCATAGTGTTGTATTCAGCACAGATACAATTGCGTAAGATACTCAATCAGGTCCCCATGTACCTATTCCCCTTATGGAACCATCCACCACACAACTTCCCAGCTGGCGTATACGAACCTCCATTCGGTAGAGAGGCGTCAACAGGCATACCTTCGTTTCTCAATTGGCTATATAACTGGCTAAACGTGAGTAAAGCGATGGGTGTGGATTGGGATGATTATAACGATCCTTCCCCAGATCTAAATATTACTAGGCTACGAGCGAAATACTATGGTGCAGAAACAATCATTACTCGACCATACCTACACTACGAATACCATTGCCCAGAAGCCGACCGAGATGTACCGAGCATGGAATTACATCAAATCTCGAAAAGAGAGCTTGACGGCTTCAAAGTCATGCTTGCATGTGGTCCTTGATCCGGAGTACCAAAGCTTTCGACGGTATTCGAACACGTCCAAAGGTAACGAATATTTTTGGCACAGCGTGAGTATCATTCATTATTACATAAGATATCAAACACATGATATCAAACACCTAACATGAGGCGACAGTCAATTCGGAAATCGCTAGGTTCTTGCACAGTGCTGCGAGTCTGTATGGTTTAAAGACCTTGAAGGGTTTGCCCCGATCCATGAAGTCCCCGAACTCCTTGAAGAAACGATGCAAGAGAGTAGAGGACCACAACTACCCCGCTTCGATTGTCTCCACTCCAAGAGTTGAGACTGTTTGGAAGAAAAGGTGATCGGGCGGTTGATGTGATTCGTCCGTAACTTTTTCAGCACAACCCTTGCTTTCGCTTGTCCTCGACAGAGCTTCCTCGCACGAGCATCAGCGAAACATACTTGTACCTGACGGACACTTAGATCTGTCAGCGCAGTAAGATATGGGTCTGCGAGCCGCTGCGTGAACCGTTGAGTAAGGATGGCCTGCGCGTTGTGCGGAAGGTCCTTGCAATTCCATGGCTCAGTATCCATGGCCTACCAGTTTAGCCGAGACTAGGCGGCGACTTAGTGGATTTAACGGCTCAGTATCAGACGGCTCAGCATGATGACACTGTGAACTAATCTATGAAGATGATGCTCAGTACCGTCAGACACACATCTGTTGTTTTCGTAGAACCTGACCCTCTTGACCCTCGTTTACGAGTTTAGTCTCCTCATTATCTGATAGTAACTCTGTTGGGCCACGCGGCATATTCGCGGGACACTTGGGTGCCGTGCTCATTGCACGCGACGGCAGGAACACGAGTAGTGTTACTGGAACATCTATAATAGGACATCGCCTGATAGCTTCCGGCTCCTGGATTCAAGAACACTAACTAACAACCCAGTCAAGATGCTCTTCTTCAACCCGCTAAGCTATGAAGATCTTAGCAAGATTATCCTCAGAGAGTAGGGCAGTCCCGGTGACCGCAATCGTCACTATAGCTGGAGCAGCCGCATAACGTGTCGTGACGCCATCGTCTGCCGGGCTGTACAGAGGCGATGTGCCCTGGTGCACCAAGCTGGCAAGTGACGGAGAGGGAGAGGGAGATGAAGCAGAGAAATGCTGCGGCGTAGCGTTCGGTCCGTCATCCGGTGAAGGTGCTCGGTAGCCGGGGATGGCCGGATCACCGCCGTCGGATGTGGTGCCGGAGCACAAAACAAAATGGATGTCAGCATCGATCGATCCGGCTGCGCATTGGCGTACAGGCTGATACGGGTTCTCTGTGCCTTTGGCTGGCTCAGGTTCAAAGTATGCATCCCATGGACAGAACTTGCTCTTGGAGCATTGCATCGCACCACATTCGCGACCATTAGTTCCGTAGACCTTGACGCCCTCGTCCCATCCAGGACACCCTTGACCAGTATGATTTTTGAAAAAGGTATCAACGACGCCAGGAGTACTTGTTGCACAATCCACGAAAGAGATGTCATAGCTTATAAACCAGTCTTTCCGATCGCCGACATCACGTATGCTATACTCCATTTGGGTTTGCTTGCCCGATTTTGTCTGGGCTTCGAAGAGCTTTATACTTGTTCCACACTGACAGCCCCTCTCGGGAATGATGACAGGAAAAGATATTTCATGCCCGGCTTTGAGTGCAATTCCATTCTCAGGATTAGGATCGTCAAATGCAGTCGTATGGTATGCATAAAAGTCCTTGACACAGTAGTTCCTAACAAACACCTTACCTTGAGGAGCGTCGGACATTTCGTAGTGTGGGCCAACGCCGGAGTAGTATTCGGCCAATGTCTATTCAAAAAGAGCAATGAAAGCCATAAAGACAGCGAGAGCGAAGTCCATCATCGCGACCAACTCTCCAGAAGTTATTACAGGGCAGAAAGGAGAAAGGCGCGGCAGAACGATATAAGAGTATAGAGTACATTTTTAGAACAGACCCCAAAACTTGTCTGCTCCTACTTCGGGACAACGGCATTTCTAAAGAAGTCCCTGTTTCGTAGTCGACTGGTTCTAGCCCAATTCTTGTATAGAACACGACCGTATCTCAAGAAAGATCTGCTGTCCTGATATAAAAACAAGCTCCCACTCATTTTCAGTTGCGCAAGTCTGGAAATGCCGCCCTGCAAGCACTCCAGCTGGCTCG